TGAATAGGATATATCTAGCTTGTTTGAGACAAAGAACACTCTTATCGACATGCACTTCCCAGAAATATCAAATAAGTTCTCATCAACGGGACATATGAGATGCTATTAATCAGGCGCCGAGTCACACAACTCAGCGCTCCTCTGCTTTGCGTGCATCGAATGAAGGGCGGCGCTCGGGCGGCATTGCCTGATAAGATCATCTATTATCCATAGAAGGGAATCACGCTGATCTGTGACACTGGCCAAAGGACCCAGGACCGACTGATAAGCAGATTCGACAGTGATTCATTACGATCTCCTTTACACTGTTCCCAATCGTGCTCATACTTCTGGTGTAGTTACATGATACCGTATTGATTCAACCTAGATATTCCGATCTATGGCAGGAGGGGTGTGTGTGCTTCACACAGGTGAACGAAAATTGGGCGGCCAAAGGACCCGGGTAAGACTGTATCCAGACACGACGGGCATCGCTCACAATCCCTTCGCGTGAAACGGAGGTCTGTTTTCGGGACAGTCCTATCTTGTCCCTTTGCCGACGCGTGCCAAAGGGCGCTGAAGGGCCGGCAATGGGAAAGTTGTACTTGCCCAGAGGTTCTACAGCCCTTTCACAAAGAACGATTCAAGGTGGTGCCCGTCGTGAGACGCCGTGTTCTGTAGCCCCAGTTCTGGGAGCCATGCTCGGGCGCACAGTTTGCGCAGCAATGGTACGCCCGTGGGCCGATCGCATGGATGAGGTGAACGCTATATTGTGCAAGAGCTTCCGGAGAGGTGCTGACGTCCGCAGGGGTGCTGACGTTCGCAGAGATACTGACGGACGTCCGGGGAGGTTGCGAAGCCAGGAAGTCAGAGAAAAGAGAAAGCCAAGGCGTGGTAGGTCGATCAGACACAGGACGAGCTCTGAATATATATGATGTGGACGGTGGTACGAGAATTTCACTCGGGGAAAGGAATTGGGCGTTTGTGTTCCCTATTGTGGATGTGACGGCCGATACGGGTTCCCACGACCATTAGCGGGCGCTCTCTACCACGCAACCGATGAATGCGCTGGACAAAGTCTCAACAAGAAGGCGAGTCGATGTAAGACATGCGTTCTCATCGTATGCAGCTGATATGAGCAACAATAGGTCAAAAGGTATAGACAAGCAGAACGAAGTTGGCGGACACACAAACATGCTTTGACAGGTGAAGAAACGCCGCCGCGTCTGTAATGGAAACTCAGTAATTGGGTTGCCTCTGTGAAATGCCAGATGCTCCGAACTTGAAGTCGTGGTATGAAGGGAGCCCTGTGGTAATCGTGAGCCCCAACTTTTACCTAGCTTCTCCCACAATATTCAGGTCGCTCAATGCTGCTGCTCCTCCAGGTACGTCGCAGCTGCCCACAACCCTGTCTCATATCCACGTGTGCTGACCGGTTGGCGATAGTACCCGCTGCGACCACGGGAGACGCCACAAAGCAAGCGTTGCTCTCTGTCGTCCAAGTCTGGCTTGACCGTCTTCAAGCTATGGCAGTTATCGTAAGTACGATCTACTCCCCTGGAAACGTGCAATAGGTTCATGGACGATTCATACTGTATACAACGGGTCATAGACTTCATTTTTGTCTCCATAGACAGCATGGTCTACTCTTTTCCCTCACGCCCGCCGGACTTCAGTACTTGGTCCTCGGTAGACTTGCTCGTGTCAGCGAGCTTGGGAGGGGCGATCATCCTCCATGTATGCGCGTGTGAGTACCAGTTTTGCAGCGCATTGCATGATGTTCAAGTTGTTCGGGAGCCGAACCCTATGCAAGCTCAATGAGGTATTACCACAATGGGAATCCACCGAGAGCGTCGCCCAGCCGGGTCCATAGCAGATCCTGATGCGCCTCCGACGTTCTCGGCGGTGTCCGGTGGTGCCCTACAGTGTCATGGGTGAAGCGCAGGTGAAAGATCGGGCTTGCATCTTGATAGGCTCTTCAACTGACCTGAGCGTGTGTGTCTTTTGGAGAGGGCATGTCGGCGTACAAATCGCTATGCGAAAAGTGTCGCAGTCTCTGGAATCAAAGCGTCTGACGAACCTTCCCTTCACCTAGCGATCCTCGCCTACATCGCATCCTTTGTCCTCATCCGCTACCGCCTCTCGGATGCCGAGGAACAGGAACAATCCACCGAGCGTCCGTACACCGCCTCTGATGGGCAACACAGGACCCACCCGATGCGTGCTCAGTCCTTTTCCGCCGCCACAACCCTCGCCCCTGCCCTTGCCCCCGAATGGAACGAATACATCGACCTCCGCTCCCTGATCTCAGTACATAAGGTCCCCTTACGGCAGTATATCCTCTGCGGCATGGTCCCGCGCAAGAGACGAGTGAAGAATGAGATAGAGGCACTAGCCACCCCGGACGACCCGGTGGTGAGGGTGACTGTGCTGATACGATGCCACACTGCGATCGCGGTGATGACGCAGTTGGGGTTCATGCTCGCTCTCCTGGGCATCTTGGCGTACTTTTGGACAGGACTTCCGCGGATGCTGGGTATCTGGGCGACGGTGCTGCTCGAAGGGTGCCTGTTCGCGATGGGTGCTGTGATGGTGCAAGCCAACTGGAAATGGTGAAAGCTTCATAGGTTGTCGAGAGCGTAAGCTGATCATTCAAAGCGTGCAAGGACGCGCACCTATCCCGTCCCACATGTGCTCACAGTCGGCGACAGGTATCACTTTCCCCGGCACTGTGGATGGGGTACTGAGATACACTCGACTTCAAGGCTGCCTACGTAGTACTCCAACATGTACCGGATTCGGCATTAATTGCGCGTCAAACACATGGTCGGCAGTTTGCGGCCCGGGATCACTTCGGCAAGGTCTGCATGCTTTCGCACCCGAACTCGACAAAGTACTTATGTACTCTACAATGCATCCAATATATTGTAACGGACAGCCATTACTCTGACCGCTGAACGTATTCAATCCTCTCCGCCCAATCTAAACTCATGAGTGCAACGTGCGGGGCGCAGTGCTAGACTCAGGCTGCGTTAACGTGTCGCCCTCCTTCCCCCTCTACTGGACATCGACGGCGCTGTCATGGCGCTCCTGCCAGTGCTCTAGCTATCTGAGCGACGAACGACGGGAGGCGACAATAAGGGCGAAGAGATCACGTCCTGTGTCCTGGTCTGGGGGGTGGGTATCATGCCGGTGAGTTCATAAATTCCTGGTACGCCGCCCGAAATAATCCAGAAGGGATTCTGGAGGTGTAACGCTGTCAAAATCGGCCAGGATCATCCAATCTGACCTCCCCTATTGAACACAAGTAGCATACACATCAGAAGTATCTCACGTGTAAGGAGCCGATCCATCCTATATCGTTACGCATGTGGACAAGCCAAGTGGCGATGTCACTCGAGGTTTCGTGCCACGCCCCGCCAGATGCTCCTCTCTTCTCCGCAACGTCGCCGTGGTCATGTTCTCCGCGAGCACGCATCTGCTGATGAGATCGTCGAGATCGTCGACGGGTGTCACGGCATCCAGCGATGGGCAGCTCTGCGCGAGATCCTACTGGCTACCTCGAGGCAGCCATCTGATAATGGTGGGCGATCCCTAAAAAGGACTCCACTGAACAACGCGACAGGGGGTCGTATACAGCATGTCTTGCGCAGTGTAGCAGTGTACTTATACATCGCCCGTAGCTCGAACTCTAGCTACTAAACAACAACTACTACCGATTCCCTCCGCACGTATAGTCAGTCCTGCTATAATGAACTCTAGGGTAAGTGGTAGCCCGAGCACCTAGCTGCCTGGTGTTCTCTGACTCATATCCACGGCACAGGCACAGGTTATGGAGATCGATGCCCAGTTGTGCCAGCTCCTGGGCACTCTCTCGCTTACAGGGCAAGCGCGGAAAGCTACCTATGTGAGTGCTTTGAGCTCACTGTGGTGAGTCGATACACTTGATGTGCTGACTCAGTAATGGCCTCTGGAGAAAGGCAAGCGAAGAGCAGCCACAGAGATCACAAATAGGGTTCGCCGGAGACGCAGTCATATCCGACTACTCAAACAGCGAGGACTCGACCTGTCAGGTACGATGCACACTCACCTTAGGCTCCCCTCCGACACTCAAACGTCTCTATGGCTTGTCTGTCCACCTCTCAGCCAAGTCTCTCCAGGTTCGCAAACGTAAGCGCGCCTCTGCCTCCGCCGCCGAACTGCGGCTGCGCGTACCTGCAGGCCGTCCACGAGCAAATCCGCTCGGGAAAGTATGGGACCACGAGCGGCGACTACCTGGAGACGATCTTCACGCATCGCGATGCGTTATTCGCGTTCCCGCAGGGTCATCGAAGCTGTGCGGCAGGTTTCACGGAGCTCGCGCGGGACCTGGAGCAGCGGGACAGCCGAGGACAGGACCAGAGCGTCAATGGGGGATGGCGACCGGATTGGGATGGCGATCATGAGGCGGTGGTCGCATTCAGGCATGAGGCATGGGTGATTGCGAACTCGTTGTGAGTGCTATCTGTCGCACACCAGGCATTTTCCTTCGCTATCAGTATTGGTGTTGGGGTAAATAGGAGAGCTATGCCATTCACTTTGTAGCCAGGTCGTTGGTGTCAACCGTGCATACGCATGGACTGGCAACGTCTACCGTATGTTTCCAGAACTTATGATGCTACCACGAAAGGATCCACGAATCCACTTCATTCAAGTTTCTCATATTCCGCCCAGCTTGCCGCTTCGAGTCAAGAGCGAAGTCCGGGCACGGTGGACAGGCTGAAGTGCTCTTGCGTCAAGCCGAGATCCATCAGGTGAATTCTGGACTATAGAAGAGCAGGTGGAGATCTGAAAGCAGTGTGCCATTACTCTCTAGCAACCCGGATCTGTAACACGTCTTATATCGAAAGTAGGGGATGGACGGCGCAATGGCGTTTTGACGTTGGGCGATTCATCGACGACTAACTCCCTAACGGAGGGTCCGTCTCCCCATTGGGGGCTCTTGAGCGCGACAACGACAATAATAACGGTCGGATAGATGGCCTGTACATAGTGGTGAACAGTTAGTTCCTTTTCAAGCTGGGGACATGAGCGACGCACGATTATGGTAGGTAGCCCGCCCGCCGACAAAGTCTCGAGAGCAACCATGAAGAGGAACCAGGGCCGATTGAATGTCAAGATCATCTTGTGATCCCTGTCCATGCGATGACATATAACCTGATATGTCGCTGTGATGATCTAAAGATGTACACTGATGAGTGCCGGGGCCAGAAGCAGAATCCAAACTTACCCATATAAGACAGTATGCTACTCCAGACTCAACGAGTAAGAACAGGACCTTCTCAGCCGGGGACCTGCAAGATGCAGCACGCAAGTAGTCGTGAACGAATCGCCTGTGTTCCCTGTATTATGGTATGAGAAGAATCGCAGATGGTCAAGCAGTGATGACAAGGTCTGACCAAGCTTTGTAAGTGATAAGTGCCGTCGCCAAGAGGTTGACGAAGGTGACACTGAGTAGGTCTCCCATTAATCCCCAGATAGAATTTATGAAGAGAGACCCGGCGCCGAGTTCTCGTAAGTCAGTCATCTTCATGATACCGTCCCCGAGGATCATCACCACATTTGGCAACGTCCGACGAGTACACGTGTAAGCTGTAGCCCGAACGCGAAGCGCTGAACAGACGGAAGATCACCGTAAAGTGCAGGAACATGCCGTCAGAGAAGCGTTGCAAGGTAGGTGATGAGACCGACCAATTGATGGAAGAAGGACTATAAGTCCGAGCACAGTGATGAACCTGTTCCCTCCCCATATGGCATACACTCGCCACCATACAATCACGTCGCTGAGCGCGATCTGCGAGGTCGGGTATCAGTGCATGCCATAACGATACACAATCGAGCCGAATACAGCTACGTTGGTTGTTAAGGCCGCACTCCATGCACAGTACTGTAATGGCAGTCTGTCTCGACCGGAGGGCTGGAGTATCAAGGGAGGGCAGGTTTGGCTCTCATCCCCCGAAACGCAAGGGATTCCAGAATCACATATGACCAGGTCAAGCTCATCCAGAACGTTGAGCATGCTGGCGGCCCAATGGATGGTAGTGACCACGAACATTACACCGACTACGCAGAGTAGTGTCGTTGTCGGCCACCTCCTCAATCCATTTCGCCTAGCGGAAGGAAAGGACAACGCTGTCAGCGTGGAATGATACACACGTAGTATACCCACAAAATACCAACGTCAGGACTATCACTGAGAGGAACACGCAGGTAAAGAAGACTCCTTTGAGAATGTGAGATCGACACGCCAAATCGATAACAACACGGTGCTCGTACCATACAAGCCTGTGGTAAGCAGTAAATCTGCGACATGCCCCGGAAGTCTGGTCGCGATGTGTCCAAGTTGGTAGGGAGCAGCTGGTGAAACGTCTTTCTTTGACTGCGTGTTCATAGTATAGCATCAGGATGTATACCGAGCAGAGCATGGTGTGTATTTATTGACCGGCGTCATCCTGAATGTCCACCAGATCATGTCAGGTATACTTCAATAGAACATGGGCCACGAGGTGGGAACACACATACTGCGACATCACACATGGGCACTATGCCGGATAAGTGCAGGGCCTAGCGTGTTCTTGTACGAGCGTGGCAGCCTGTCGTCCAGTAGTGGAGGGTACTAGAGCGTCAAGCGGCTCGGATCCATCCGGTAGAGTCACCTTGAAACACAATTATGCCAGTTCTCGTCCACCTGAGCGTCCGAGGTAATCGTTCGAGGGCAGAAAGGCGGCAAATCACGATAAGGAGTGCATGCCGACACGGACAATAGTCGCGTGCCTGACCTATCGTCATGTTTCCCGAGAGGACTCCGACTTCTATCTCGAAGTGAGTGATTGCTGTCTGAGCAGTGGTTGCTTAGGGACTGGCATGAACGATGAGACGATGTGTCTAGAAGAGAGCCCGGAGAGTACCTCTTCAAGAAAGTGGGACATGCCATTGTAGCATGGGTCCACAGCCGTTGACACAACGTTCAATTGTCAACATGCATGGAAGTAGCAGTTTACATTCCATAACATGCTCGTCAATTCCGCTGTGGAGTGTCATCAGCGGATCATTCTGACAGCAAGATTAGTCCCCGACAAGATACATTAACGGCAGAAACCTGCGCCTGCGTACGTCTGTGGTTCAGCCACCCCCACTATGAGTGGCTGGTTTGAAGACCACTCTTAACCGTTTCCATATGGTCACGTCACTGGTTCGAGCTAATCAAGATGCTCAGTCAAAATGATTGGAAGCGGTCGAGACCCCAAAGAGCCTAGAAGTATCGACTGATTTCTCGTCAAAAGGCACAAATCGTGGCTGGATTGGGTCGTGATCGGCGTAGGCATGTGCGAATGCGTCGTGGTCTCCTAACCGCCGGGTGGTTTCCGGTCCCGATTCTACCGTTACTGACACCCCCTAGCGGAGAGTCAATGCGTTCCCTGCGTTGGATAAAATGCTAGAGAGAGAAAGTCGAAAGTTCCATTCCTGAATAAGACCGGACGATATAGACCTGGTGATTATCGATGTCAGATATATGCATACCGCCTGTCGAAATGTCGAGCGATCTTGGCCCTTGGACGTTGTCGCCCGTTCCTCTGGATTCAGGAAGAGAGATAGTGGTGTTGTGTCTCGGACATTTCACGTGGATGAGCAGAGGAAGTGCTGGGAAGACTACTCGCGTAGTAGCTTGTGGCCAGGACCTCCGACCTGAGCGTCTCGTCGTGCTTTAAGCGACGAGGACGGCGTCACAGAAGTCGTCTTGGGCGCCGATCTTAGGCTACTCCACCTGCTTGCTGTCGTGTATGAACCGCATCGGACTTGTTCATTTGTCGGAATATGGGTCAGTCACCATGTTTCTATCGTACAATAGACGTACGCACCTGAAGATCCGCCAACTATGTGGGCAATGTCTGTGTGCATCCGTAGACTTCCTTGAGTAGAAGCGGACATGGTAAATATAACGTCCATACGGAGAGTCCTTTGAAATTTAGTACAGCCAGGAGGATGAGACGAGTGGTATTACAGTGATATCATGGAGCTACCCATTCATCCCATAATCTGGCAACTGGTCACGTAGGCTTCAGGACGTGCATGGATTAGTAATTAAACTGGTCGCGAAGGAAGACACATCCAGGCCATGCCGCCCGGTATTACCGAGGACACGCTAGCGCAGCAACAAGCGTCAGAGCGCATTGCATTTCACGAGTTTCGACGCGTACGTCCGCCGCGTCTCCAGCCACGCCTCCACCCACTCTGCGATCTCCTCCTTGAACACCGGCTTCTTCCTCGCCACTCTCTCCGCGTTCCGCTCCAGCTGGTCCATCGCCACCTCCGCATAGTCGCCCTGCAGGAACGGCTTCGCCATCGTCAAGTGCATGATCCGCATCTCGTCCTGCAGCGCCGTCCACAGCTTTGGCGTGCGCTTCTTGATCGCGAGGTTCCCGTTGTACGCGTACGGCAGCCGCAGGACTTCCGCCCCAAAGTAGTGGTTCAGGAACGCCTGCTCGGCCTGCTCCGCGGGGTAGTGCGCCGTCGCGATCTTGCTCACCATGTCGTGGAACAGCTCCGTGTCCGGGCGGAGGAACATGACCCCCGCGTTGAACGCGGTCACGTACCCCTGCGAGTCCGTGTAGACGTCGGGCACCGCCGCGAACGTATACGGTAGGCGGAAGACTTCGTCGAAGTTACGCCGGACAATGGTATCCGAGTCGACGTACATCACAGACTGGTAACCGCGCTGGTCAAGCGTCCACAAGTGTAACTTGGAGTACTGATCGAGGAAGTGGCGGTGCACCCCGCGGAAGGGCGGGGCGATGCGCTCGATGCGGACGGGCTCCCACCCGGAGACAGTGGCGATGCAGAGCGCGCGCTCGGACACCTTGTCGGGTAGATAGTAGAGGAGGCGGGCAGCAGAAGAGTTGGCCACGTTCAGCGTGTGGCCGAGCGTGGCTACCGCAGTCGCGAACGCGTCGGTGTAGAGCCCCGTGACGATGACATTGTCCTGGGAATTTGCAGGCTTGATCGCAACGAGGGCCTTGGTGTCGAGTATGGGGTGCGTGTTCCTGGTTTGGTGGTGGGAAGCAAACCGTCGGTCAGTCGCTGTTCCATGAGAAGGAGCGCCTAGAATGGGAGATTCTGCTCGACCGCTGTAGGTGCCCTTGGGATGATGATCCCCAATGCACTGAAACACGCAAGTCATTGACGAGTATCGTCCTGAATGAGACCATCGATAGCTCTTCCGCTCTCACATTGTGAAGACAATCCCACATGGGTGCGGACGGCACGATGACGAACACCATCCATCCTAGTGGTCTTCCGAACCCACTCCCCACTTGACTGCGGACAGAAGGCACGACTTGCAACAAGATGCGAGGTCTCCGAACACCGACCGCGACGCATAGCGAGATTGGGACAGCCACGAGGAGCTTGGCAGTTGAGTATTTCTGGGCACGAACCGGATTTCCCATGCTCCGCGGACCGTAACACAAATGAACGGAAAGTCCAAGGCATGCGAGATGAATCGTGACATGTTGACCCACGCAAACTACTCATCGCTGACATGATGATGCTCGGGATAGCCCTTCAAGAACACACGCTCAGGTCGGTCAGCAACCGAAATGGATGCGAGCCTAATCCGCGGTCTATACTCATCGAAGACCCGTTGAGCGCGGCCCTAAATGCTCTTGGTCGTTGATAACTTCAGTCCAGGGTTTAGGGCGGATCATGAAACGACGTCCTCGTAGGACGCATCACTGACCTAGGTAGACAGCCGCCGCAGCCGCCAGCGATGGCTCCTAGCCCCCTGCCAAGTCATACAGACTGCATCTGACACGGATGCTAAGAGGCTGCAACGACTAACGTGCGGTGCATATTGAGATGTGTACTACGCGTGACCCGCCTTAGCCCGGGAGCGCGCTGCAGTGTGACACACTGCCTACCAGCAGGTGGCCGGCAGGCATTGCGGACAGAGTCGCGATGCCAGTCCACGCCTAGCTGCAAGGTGAATGCCGTATCCAGCCCACTTGAAGTCAAGGATAGAGTCCGCTAGAGGGCGAGATGCCCGTGGTCACGACTTGTGCCCCACCGGCACCCATACCACACTTGTAAGGAAGTAGATTCTCCTCGTGCAACAGGAGCCCCCTTCTCCGGGACTCACGCTTGACCGTGATATGAGACCGGGGACACCATTCCATTTCCCGCTCGCGTGCGACGGAATTGTGTGCAGGGCTCGGTATCCCCACAATACAGCGCCGAGCTCCGCAACAACACAAAAGTATGCATGTCTACTCACAGTGCTTGGTAGTTGTCGAGCGGCGCAGGCCAGCTGGTGAACGTCGCGTACAGGAAGTACAGATTGACGAGCACCGAGAGGGATACTATGCCCTGTCCGATCCGTCTTCGCCTGTCTCCGACGGGGTTCTTCGCGTTGCGATACGGACTGCCAGGTTCGCCATCAGACCAGGGCGGCAGGGGAATGTAGTCCTTATAACGGAACATGACAGTAAGCAGAGCAGGTGGAGGTGGTGGTGGTGGAAGGCATCTTCGTTGCCGCCGCTGTGGCGCACATTCGCCAACAAGCGCGACACTGCCACTATGTAACACGCCCGGCCCCGCCGCAGCTAGTCAGCATTGAAACACTGTTCTACTAGACCACGAATGTTGAAAATCTTGCAGTGCTGACTAGATTTGTGGTATGGCGTCCACCTCAATATCCTATCGTCTCGTTGGCTTCTCAGAGAAATATTGATCTTCATTGGGCTACATAGCATGCCTCCGATCCGGTCGGTGGCGGTCGCTCGGAATGGTCTCGAATTGCACATTCAATTGACTCAGCTTCCCTTCACCCCTTCCCCGAAGGCCAGATGGTCTCCGGCTTCCTTTGGACTACCTCGCAGCAGCCAACCGGCATTATAACTTCAAGATTTGAGCGATTCTCGATACCGAGCAAACCGTCTGGGAAGCGTCGAGCGGCGATGGCATCATCCCAAGGCGTTCGTGGTAACTTGAAAGGCTCCAGAGCAGGACTACTGATACCGAGCACAACAAATATACACACGTCCGCTGACCCATCTTCTAGAAGCGTAGCTTGCAACTTTTGCCCCTAGCATGTCGAAGAGTTGTCTCATCCCCGCATACCGACAATACTAGAATAATTGCACCCCGGGCGTTACTGGACAGCGAAAACCCGGCTGTCAGCTGATGAGATTGCGGGAGCAATTGCATAGGCACGTGTGCGGATGTTTGAACTACACGTTGTCTGGCCGATGACGAGTACTTACAATGCGAGTTTGAGTGTTGATACACTGGCACGATGCCATCAGGAATATGAAGCTCTGGTGGTCGAGCACACTGCGCTCACCTTTCTATCGATGATACGTTATGCTAAACACTCTTCAAAACCACGGACGGACACAGCGGAAATTTATGAAGATATGTACCCCTTTGCTCCTTATGTCCAGAGACGAAGACTGGTAAAGAAATTTTTGCCACACACCCCAGTGTATACTGTATGTGTTTGGTGAGTATGTACGATGTGTGTATTGATGTGACCTCTACGAATCGAGGAGTATCGTTTCCAGTGGTGCTACAGGAGAGGACGAACCAGACAGAACGAAAACCCACGGATGCAAGGAGGTGACACAACACTCCCTTAGACTCGGACCTAACATAGGAGAGGGAAGCGAACTGATGACGACACGACGGACACTGGAAGGCAGGAAAATGGGTGGGAGGCAGAGGCTGCTGCGCACAGTCGATTCGCGACGAAGTCGGACGGACACCACGGAGATTGTATACGTATCAGACACCGGACATGACAGCCGAAGAGCGCAAAACCGAATGAGGGAGAGTTACATAGGTATGTAAGGATCACAGACGGCACGCGCCGCCATTGATTGTAAGTTATATCTACTACGGATCATGCTAAATTGAAAACACACCGAAAGAGAGGACACACGCGCAAAACCGGGAAAGCGGACAAGGACACGGCCTCGGGGACATGGGAACGGACAGACAAGGATGGCACGACGGAGGGTGGCGTAAGACTCTGAGAAGCGACAAAGGAGCGCATGGGTAGGGTGCGAGGATGCGGTATGGGAAGGAAGAACTCGAACAGTCGCAGCCGAGTCGCAGGGTTGGGGAGTCGCGGGCCCGGGCTAGGGTAGGGGGTTGAGAGAGGGAACGCAGGGGCGCTCGGGTGTAGAGGACATCGGGTAGGAATGGATGGCAGTCGTGATGTGCTCCCGAGGTGACGTGGAGGAAATTGTTGGACGGCGATAAGTGCAAATTATACATAACCAAATGTCATGAGAAGGGGGTGACAGGTGCCGCGACGCAATGGGAATGATGACCTGCACGAGTCGACGTGATGATGATAAGGGCAAAAGGTGCTTGCGGGGGCGACGGCGTACGGTGGGTGATATGGTTGGTATGGCTGACGGGAGCGAACGAGATTGGTGGTAAAGACAGGATTGTCGGTTGTTTCCATATTTCAAGTGCATTTGCGCCTCGGCGCCCCGACTCGTACACGCTGCTGCTAAACGAACGAAAAACCCATATGATTGACGACGGAAAGAGAAAACGAATGGATGATAGGACGAAACGAGAGCCATTTCCGATAACGGACTACCTGATGCCGCCTTCGGGTGGTGTCCTTAACGGCGAATGCAGGTTGTCGGCAGCTAAGACGGGACAGTCATGTCAGCATCACACAGGCGAAGACAGAGAGTGGCTGGACATACTATTTAGATATACCGTATTCCCCCACCAATTCACGAAGAACCCGCCCTTGGGGAACTGCAGCGTGAAGAAGATGAACAGCACTGACAGCACCGTCCCGCAGTCGCAGGCCGCCGTCAGCACGTAGTTGAACTTGCTCCACCACACAAAGTTCCTCCTCCGGACTAGGAACTGGAAGATGAACCCGACGAGGAACCACGACGAGTAGTTGATTCCCGTAGCTGGCGGAATCAACCCAATCCCGTTTAGCACGATCGGCAGGTTCACGAACTTGTTCCATTTGTTGGGCCACCGCCTCTGCCATAGCCAAAACGGCAACGGAAGGACCGCCCCAATCGCGATTGCGTACAGCTGCGGGTGGTAGATGGAGTCTGTTCCGAACTGCCTGGCGGGCCCAATCAAGCCCCAGATGGCGGACGTCGTGTACAGCACCTGATTGTGCGGGCACGTAAGCGAGTCCTTCTGGTTCGGCTGGCAGATGTCCTTGATGTTGGAGAACATCCACTCCTTCACGCCGACCTGCAGCAGGCCCACGAGCGTCGTCGACACAAGCTGGACGACGAACGTCGCGCGTGGAGGGAGCTTCACGTAGTGGCCGAGCTTCAGGTCTTGTACGAAGGCTGTGCCCTCTGCGAGGGTCTGCACCGCATACGCCTTGAAGATCTGTGGGCGCAGGGTGAACAATGATCGACAGAGTGGAAGGTGGTTGTAAAGTGTACCATGTTGGGCAGCGGCTTGCCAGGCAGGATCATACCCGGAATAATCTGCGCAAGCAGGTTGATCGTGATCTGGGACGAGGTCCATCGGCGTCAGTGTGTGCATACGTCACAGCGAAACTGTCGCTCACATTCTGGCCAGTCAACGCGTAGACGTATCCAGACGGGATCATGTACGTCACCGGGAGCGCGATCGCGAGAATCAACGCCCACACCGGAATCTCCGTATGCCAAACCTACATCGACACCTCGGGGTCAGCTCGCCGCCATGTCCACATCCATCACGTAGATACGCACCTCCGCTGTGACGATCGCGAGGGCGAAGCACGCAATGAACGTCAGCATGTACCACCAATCCGGCACCTCCGGGTACGCCCGCATGAGCTTCGCGTGGATGTCGTCCTTCTCGATCCGCGTCTGCGTCAGCCCGTGCAGCACCGTCTTCCCGTGGTAGAGCACCGTGTGGACGATCATCGCCGACGACAGCGCGAACGCGATCAGGTACGTGATCGCGAACGACGCAGGCAGGTACAGCGGCGAGTAGTTTTCGAACGCCGTCTGGTCGAACGTCTGCTCCGGCGTGAGCACGCGCGTGATGTTGTACGGCTGCCCGAACCGGTCGTACGGTTGGTTCGCCATGAGCGGAAAGTACGACAAGTCCCACGACTGAAGACGACGTCAGTTGACTACGATCTGGCAGAAGTAGGCAAGACTTACGTTGGTGTAATAGAGGATAGGGCACAGCAGCCAGTACACGATGAAGAACCCAGCGAAGATCTGCACCTCGGCCCACCATGGCACCATCAGAGGGCTGCCTATCCACGTAATCTGCGCCCAGTCGAACGTCAGGATGCCCATCCCGAGCCCCCCAGACACACCGAACAGCTGGTTGATGACCACGTCCTGCGGCTTGATCCAGCAAATGTACGAGAACGTCGACAGTGCCGTGAATAGGTACCCTGAATTATGTCCGAGTCAATACACGATGGCCCATACCCACGGGAGATCGACGTACCAGGGAGGAAGAACCAGAAGAACGAGCCCACCGCCGCATAGCAGAAGAACTTGAACCGCGTAATCCCTCCCCGCGCATCCTCCTCTTCCGCATGCAGCGTGTTCAGGAGCGTGCACACGATCAGATTCTGCGGCCACACCATGCTCGCAGGCCACACCAGGTACCGCCGGCACAGGCCCGCCAGCGAGAAGCCCGTCAGCTGCGTCGCGAGGATCAGCAGCGCATTGAATCCGTAGCCGAGCTTCACCCCATAGTCGATCTCCGCCACGACCACAGCGTTCAGCGCAGTCGGCACTCCGATCGACACGTTGGCCATGATGTACACCAGGGCGTGTTCCTTGATATTCCACGGCCCAGGGTTGAGCGAGAACTCATAGTTGCCGAGAGGACCCAGCCAACGAGGCAATCGATACGTTCGTATCGGCATCGTCAGCGCCAGGAGCTTGCCGACAGGGTGTGCGAGGAGGAGCAGAACGTTGGACACGATTGATGGCGCTGGTTGTCGGAAATTGAAGAACAGATTTGCACACCTAGACGTCATCACGATGAGATATTCTCAACGTCCGCAGCATCGTCTCGCGACTCACCCAGCAGCAAGCGTCAGCACCATTCCGATGCCCCACATCCGGAGTGTCATGGCGGGCATCTCCGGGTCGTCTATATTTGACACGGATGCGCGTACTTCGGGATACGGGCTGTCCTCGTCCTCGTCCTCGAAGGGAAATTCCATCCTGATCAGACACATGGTAAGTAGGGTTCAAACGACAACTATACCAAGTATATGGCAACGACCAATGCTGAATAGGTGAAGAGGCAATAACACTATGAATGCCTGCGCCGGCACCGTTTGACCACAACCACCGCCGCGAGGTGGTTGCGGTCGCCGGCAAAGTGTCTGGGAAGACACAAGGTTGCATACGCCTCGGACACATTCTCCCGATTTCCCTGGAGAGCTGGCCGGACGCAAGTGTGGGAGGGATTGTTACGCGTCCCACTATCATTGAGTCATGACTGCACTCGTTTTGATCTTCATGTCGTGGACTTGCGACTCGCGTCCCACGCGAGCTTCCACCCGGAGTGGAACGGGGGATTACAACATGCAAGCAACTCCCGAGTCAGATGTAAGGCGTCCCGGCAGAGGGACGCCGTGCTAAGCGACACAACCACGACAGCGACCGCGGCCAAGAGCACCCTACGCCCACAGCCGTAAGGTCATCCTGGAGTCGTGGGCACAATCATGACCGCGCGTCCAATACGGGCGTCGGATGAAAAGCGAGTTATAGGGTATCCTCTCCGCGACAAGCCTGCGAGAGCGTTACTTTCAAGAAAGCCTCTGCCCCGGGCTCCGACCATGCGTCCGGACATGCCACCCCGTAGCCTAAGGCCACCGGTGTCATTGTCCAGGACGGCTTTACCTTGATCTTTCCCCATGTGCGCGTTCCGGCGCTTAGCGCTCACAACGGGGTAAGGTAGGATTGCCCAGGACGATAGCAACTCTTTCGGGAAGAGGGATTCCTCACATGAGAAGGATGAGAATGAAGTCAACGGGAACCGACCGTCCCCACTATGACGCAGTGGTTTCACAGAAGCAGCAAACAGGGCAAGACGCAGAACAGCACGACCGGAGACAAACGACTCACTTGATGGATGCTGAATCTGCTACACTCGGAAAGCTCGCCGACCGCGTAGTCGACGGTGGCCGTTCCTTGCCCTTCCCTCCCGTCGACCCTCCCTTGGGAAGAGACACATGGACTTCTCGCGAGCTGATAGCGGAGCTCACGCCAGTGAACCGCCCCGTTCCAGTTGTAGGTGTTGAAGGCGACGTTGGCGACGTAGGCGGAAGACGTCGTAGGCGATAGGCGTCCTCTGACCCATGCTGATTCTGGGAATCCGTCGAGGGGGGCGATTCGACGGGGGAAAGCGGGTACGGTTGCCTGTGATACGGCTGTGTCTGCGACGGGCCTGGCACGGGGCCCACGCGGTCGATATTGGTCGGGTCGAAGGTAGGCGGGGGAGGAGTTATCGGAGAGGCGGCGGTGGGGGGAGGGCCGAAGGCGAAGACGTCGCCGGCATCGGACTCGTCGTCGTCCTCCTCCTCGTCCTCGTCGATGGAGTAGTCATACGTGTACTGGGGTTCGCGGTCGAAGTAGGCGGCGGTGGCGGGGCGGCCTGTTGTGGGGCGGGCGGAGGACGGCCTGCCTGCGCTGGACGGCGGGCGGAGGGGCATGGAGGACGCGGTGGAGGAGGTGGGGGGAGAGGCTGAGAGGGCTCGCGGCCATTTGGCCGACTTCGCTCCAGGCACATCAGTCGTACCTGGCTGCCGGATTTGGTATGTCGCTCTCTGCGTGCGTTCCTGTTTTTCTCTTGTCCCGCTATTTCCATCGTCCTCCCACGTCTGTAGTCGTATTCCAGCCGGCCGTTTGGGTGAGAACGGGGTTCGGCGGCCATCTGGGACAGACGAGGAGCGCAGCATGCAGGAGGGCGCTACAAACATGACTTGTGTCCTCGGTGATCGCCCAGGAGTCGGAGGCGTTTGCTATCGCGTAGTAGTGATCGCATAGTCTCGTACCTGGTATTCGAGGCCGCTATGAGGGCCAGCTGCCAGCATGCAGCTCAGGAACAGCCTGCCGCGAAGACATCGTGCTTGCTTTCGCTGCGTCGTCCGTATGAATATTGGTCGTCGCTCGGTAGACGCCCATAATCCATTATCTCAGATCCGGTTTTTCAGGTGTAGCGCGGTGTCCTCATTGATCAGTGCATTTTTCCTTACCATTCGCCGCTGAATTTACGTGACCCTTCGATACATGCTGGAAGACTTGGGGCGGGTTTGTGTATACTTGGAACTGAGTTTCTATATGAAGTGGAATAGGATTTTTCAGAGCAGGCCGGGCGTTGCAGGGCACGTGGTGTAGTTGGTTATCACGCTCGCTTAGCACGTAACTTGCGAGAGGGGTCCGGTTCAATCCCGGACGTGTCCAAGCAGTGTTAAGTGTTAATAGTGGTTTTTCCCAGTCATACTGGGCTGATGTATTCGTTACACTTTTATTTGTGGCGCATATCTTTCCCCCCTCACCACCAAGCCTCAAACAATGTTCATTAAATCTGAGGGCGTCTTCGCGGCCTCAGAACGCTCAGGTGCGCATTTTCCGATCCGTTTGTACACTTACTACGTACTTCAGATCGCTTGCGGCAGACGGTTGTATGAGGACAGTCTCGTCAGCGTTGAAATGACGGCCACTACATCCCCTATCATCATACAGTAGATGCTGACAGACCTACGAACAAGACATCGGCAATCTCAACCTCCTCATGAGCAAAACAAATCGCCTGGCTGATCTGACACGACTCTGCACCCTCAGTTCCGAGAATATACGCATTCAAAACGATTACCCATGGCGATCCACGGACGTGACAATGATTTTGTCCACCGACGAATGTCTCAATCCATTGTTCGTACCTATCGACTCTGCACAGAGCCTTGATTTTAGAAGCGCGACGTTCAGACTGGGCGACATAGCATTCAGGCACCACAATTCCCTCGACCGAGTGGTCGTCATCGACCCCCTCCGGGTCAAACTCTTGGTCGATACTTACCGAATCTACCGACATGTGACGTGGGAGAGACCTCACAGTACCGCATGGTCTTGACAACAACAGTCTTGGGAATCCTCGGAGCAATGGGCGAAACTACGAACCTCTCGGACAAGGCGACAGGCACCAGCAACGGGCAGCCCTCAACGCGAATGGCACCGGCGATCGAATTCGCCCTGAGGCACGTATTGTAGGAGCGGGGCATATGTGCAGGATGCCACAGGTCACACACGGATGCGCCAAAAATGCGCTCGCGCGCTCCGTCTGCAAGAGATTGTCCAGCTGGGTCTCAGCTCGAGCGGGGTTGCATCCGAGTATAGCAGTAATATTAACCAGCGCGTACCTGGCACAGGGAAAGCTCTGCTACGCGGAATTTGCCCGAACAATTGACCTGAAAGATCGCATCCCGTACTCAGGTATACACTGTGCCTGGGCGTTCGTCACATCCGAGTCCAATAATTGGCTTTACATAGGTGGCAGCGGATCGTTGGATAGTCAAGACAAGGTATGCCCGAGCTAGTACTATGGTTCCCCAAGGCTGAGCCTGAGAACAGCTCGTCGTCCGTCTCTGTACCATCTACCGTCAACGATCTACCCCTCCCGTCCATCTTGGACTCAAGCCGAGCCCGATGCGCCACATCTGAACCGTCTACCTAGAAGCTAGCGCGCCCTCCAAGCTTCAAGCTTCACACGTCTGCACTCAATAAAGTTGATCAATGCGTCACAGACGCACTGCGGCTCAGGGGTCCGATATCTACATCGCGTCCAGTGACCTCACGTCTCCTAATGGGTGCCCTGGCTCCCCGCCGGCGAGCCATCGCAGTCAATTCGCCCCAACTATCTCACCATGGGGACTTAGCGCGCCGCCGAACTCCTCCACGTCCTTAGCAGTCATTCACAGCATCGCTTGAGAATCGCTCTTCGGCTCCAATTACGGGTCGCGCAACCGTTTGTCACCCCGCGTCGCGGCAGACGTTGAGCGCCATGAGAACAGCGGCAGAGAGGAACTCAGGTGCGACGTGGAAGACGTAGAAGCCTGCCTTGGAGAGACTCGAGTTCTGCGACCCGGGCGCGGTTTAGTAGAGCGAGGTGTTGTTGTCGAGCACGGTGATGCGGTATATGCCTACGACTGCCTGCCTGTTCGAAGGACACGCGAAGAGTGGGGGAGATCAGCGTCGGTCGCTATAGAAGAGCATGGAGAGAGCGAACGTACGAGGAGGGTTGCAACGAGGACGATCCATATCGCTGAGCTTCGGGGGACGCGGGGCATGTAGACACATGCCCAGATAGCCAGGCCTGCTAGGCGAATCAGCAGGACGATTGCTGGTGCGGTGCTTCCATATCTATAGCAAGACAGCAACTATGAGCTGGACTCTAACATCAGAGAATATTGCACTATGATAACAGCTCAACTCTGCCCCCCGATTCGACTGGGTAGTCGATGCCCGCAATAGTGCTGAAAATCAGAGTGACCCAGAACAATATCGTGGACGCCCCGTAAAACCGCCGGACACAGTACCGTGTTTGTGTATGGTCCACGACTTCCCAGCCCCCCTGCTTTCCGGCTCCGATGCTCATGTTGTAGTAGTATGCCCTCGGGCGTGTCATTAGCGGACCTTGGTGTTCGAAGGCGCCACTGGCTGTCGATGTTTGTGGTGTAAGCTTATGCTTTCCCAGTATGTCTCCGCCAAGGGTGGAGGCGACAAGAAGGGAGCGAGTGAGGACAGTTAGACCTTGGCTAATGGAGATGAAGCCATCGCTTTAAGTTGCTTGGAAGTAGGTCTCGCTCCATGGAGAATACTAATCCTGGTACGTCAGGTAGTCACGGTAAGAGGCAAGAGCAAGGTAAATCGACCAACATAATACCATCCCAATCCAGACGCCATCCCCAACTGGCGCTCTGGTCCTGTCCCCAGCCGTCCCGCAGCTCCAAGTCCCGCGCCAGCTCCGTGAAACCCGCCGCACAGCTTCAATGGCCCTGGAGCCTGGGGAACGCGAACAGCGCCTCACGTTGCGTGAAGATAGTCTCGAGATAGTCACCACTCGTGATGGGATACTTTCTTAGTGCGGATCTGCTCGTGGATGGCCTGCAGGTATGCGTAGCCGTGGTTGGGTGGCTGCGGCGCGCCTGCGTTTGGGCAGCTGGAGGGGCTTCGCTAGTAGATCAAATCCGGCATCAGACAAGAGACACTTGGCCTGGAGCATGCGCCATACCTGGAAAGTCGAGCCTTCGCTGTCCGAGTAGTCGGAGATGACTGTGTCTTCATGGCCCGTTTTTGTGATGTCTGTGGCAGTTCTTCTCTCGCCTTTCTCCAAACGCTATCACAGAGTCAGCACCTCAAGCATACCAGCTCATGACACAGACAGCACAAGGGGATCACAAAGGTATCTTTCCGCGCCTGTCCTGCAAGTGAGAGCCGGGTGCACAGAGACTGGCACAACGGAGCACCGATCTCCATCGGCTGCGCTGAGAAAAATGGTCAGGAAACGTCATGTAGCCGGGTACTCGGGTCACTACTCACTTCATTATGCATTCTCATAAGGCTCACTATGCGAGCTGAAGTATCGATGGCAGTGGTTGTTAGTTACCCGAAGGTCGAGCCACGCTAGTATAGATAATTGGCTGCTTCGACGTAAGTAGCCATAGGATCCCGCGCAGAGCTACCGGTCGTTGGATGCCGTGCCAGATGATCTCGCCGATCTCATCAGCGGACGGATGCTCGCGGCGATCAGGATCCTATTGATGTTGCGGAGAGGAGAGGAATCTCTTGCGAGGTCTGACAAGAAACACTGGACGATATGGCCACCTGGAACCAAGTGGCGCTTAGCGGAAGGTTTCTACGACTGTACGGCAGCGCTTGCCTAAGGTGTGATCAGTATCTAGGCTGCACGGACCTGTTGTAGTCACAGAAAGGAAACAAACAGAGTCTTGTATACGACAGGTATCGCTCGGAATCCCTTAACAGGTCATTTGTGGGGACAAAGTCATCCCCTTGCCAGCGCGCGCTACAATTCGGGGACAAGAAAGTTATCCTTGCCCACATAGTTTTCGTCGCTTTCACAAAGAGCGATCTCAGGCGGGGCTTTCGTGGCGGTATATTCCTGGAACTCAAACTCGCGTGGGAGTCGAGTACGGATAGCCGATCTCCTATAGAATCCCGCCGCAATGGACGGCCCGGATGCTAGCCCCCCGCATAGAATATGAGGGCGGTCATGCTCTGCCAGGTTCGCGCAAAAGCGTAAACATCGTGAGAGGCTTATGACCAATGCTCGATCCAGTTATAGAACAGAGGGTTAAGCACCGAACCCCACCCGCCTCCAGCACTATAAATGTACGATAGGCAGTCGCGCACCCACCTCGACACTCGAACTCCTCAAAGTCCACATCAGCTATGTCTCCGCCAGGGCTCCTCTTCGTATTTTCCGAGCCTGGACCCAACCTGACGGACGACGAGTTCAACGACTGGTACGACAATGAGCACGTACCCCTCCGCATGGCCATCCCCACCTTCCGCCGAACCACCCGTTGGATCGCCGTAGACGGCGAGCAGCCCCGATACCTCGCGACGTACGATCTCGACTCCTGCCAAGTCTTGGACACGCCGCCCTACAACACCCTCGTCACCACGCGCAGCGAGCGAGAGAAGGACGTGATAAGCCGCACGCAGCTCCTCGATCGTCGCACGTATGACCTCTTCGAGCCGGACATTGTCCCCGCCGTCGCGGGGTACGAAGAGCAAAAGCCTGGGCCATACTTCATCACGCTGCAGGCAAGCGTCAAGCCTGAGCTGGAGGACGATCTGAACCGATGGTACCGCGAGGAGCACATTCCGCTCTTGGCGAAGGTGCCGGGATGGCGCCGGTCGCGGCGGTACGTGCTGAGGGATGTGGGGCCAGCGAGCGGGACGGGAGCAGAAGTGCTGAAAAAGGGCAGGCCGCCGAAGTATCTGGCGGTGCATGAGTGGGAGTCGCCGGAAAGTTACGAGACGCCGGAGTTCAAGCACGCGACTAGTACGCCGTGGAGGATGAGGTTGTTTGAGGGCGCGGACGTGTGGGACCGACGACTGTTCAAGGAGATGAGGACATGGCTTCAGGAAGACAAATGAGGTGCTCACGATGACACGGCAATGACCGCGACATGTGCTCAAGGAAATGTAGCAGAGCCAATGTTAACCTCGACATAGGCCGGATGTGCTCCTTAGGATACTTCAGATGTTGTGTGCTACTTGTCGTCAATGTGAAAGACTGTAATCTCAACTGTCAGCTCGCATGCGAGGAAAGACATCATATTCAAGCAAAATTGGCTGCGTCGCAGGCAACGTACCGGGAATCCATGAACCCACCTGCATGATACTCGCTCCCGGATCACAAGTTGCGAACTCCTAACCTTGATATCACCTCACGTTCATCCCTCAGAAAACTTGGGGAGGAGTGCACCATGTCACTCGCCGAACAGCGCTGTCGATGCCCTGTTGAGGTGGAAGGACGCGAGATACGTTGACGCAGCTTGAGCCTAGCACTGCGCCCCGCACGTTGCACTCCCGAGCTAGGATTCACAAAAGTGAATTGAATGCGTTCAGCGGTCGAAGTGACGGCCACCCGGGGCACCAGAGGGTACTAATCAATGCGTTGTGGAGGGAGACAGACGGTGGATATCGCTCTGAACTTGAACGTACCTTCGTTATGTAACTTGATCCGGTACTCGGATGGCCTCCAACTTCGTCGTGGTATCGTTTCAACAGAATTCGAGCTTGCTCACTATCAGCTCCGACAAATGCTAAATCCCTGTGTGTGCTAGCTGATACAGTCTCTGTTGAACAGGCGCTGGTTTACACAGCTTGCCTAACACAGCCGTCACAAGATATGGAACGGCACAGCCGGTTACTGCAATAACCGAGGCTGTACTACTCATGTGGTACACACACAGCTTCGCTGTGTACGCACTGCTTCTCTGTGCGACTGTGCATCCTGGGAATGTACTGTATAGTACTACGTAGCCACAGATGTACAGTAGTATATATAGGGGACCTCTGTACCCCCAATCTACAGTTCAGTTCACTCGAACATCTCCTCTCATCGCTCTAACAAGCCTCTTACAACCAACAACCCTTCTAGGTGAGTTGCAGGCTATCCGCTGTCGTTGCCACCCGTGGGAGAGGCCTTCGCCCCCGGGTTCAACAGGTTATGAGCCCTGCTCGACGCTGCAGAATCTGCGCTGCTCATCGTGTGCTGCGATCTGTAA